GAATATACCTTATTCTTAGTAGTAACAGAAGGCCAATGATTGATCAGTGTGTTCATGCAGCTGAAAGAGTCATGAGAATTGGGTAGAAAATATAATAGCTATAATTACCCTGGGCTTCTTAAGTTGATGAATGAGTGATAGTAAATTTCCCAACAAAGCGATGAATAGGCCTCATAGTGTCATTAAATTATGCTTAGGCATGCTTCCCAAAATGTATTCTTATTCAGATTGGGCAGGACCACAGTTTCGAACTCGCCTGGATCTCCTCATAACCCTCAACGGAACTCGAACCCGAATGGTGCAACGCATAATTTCGACAGGATGCTACAGTTCAGATGTGAATTTCAAGGTAAGCCAGGTCATGCCGATATCACATTTCCGCAGAGGGATTTGAGATGAAGCAAATTCATTAGATTTGATATTAGAATCGACTACATTACTTATATTCTCATTGAATTGTTGTGTGTATTGTCAAATCTATTCTTGCCCAATCGCAACATTTCAATTCTAGTCTCGGCGTGTCCGTCTCCAAACTTTCCCTTGACGAGGTCGAAATTATCATCCGTACCGGCCGAAATAATGCAGTTGAGATACGAGTTGGACAGATACTCTACTGAAAGGCATTTACTTCATCAAACTCCCCATCCTCTTCAATCCTCTTCCTTTCAGAGGCATTAAAGTTAAGCAAGTTGTGATGAGGTGGAGACTGATTCATGCAATACATGGCCAGGATTAGAGATAGTCTTTAGAAGCCTACATTTCACTCTTTTGCATCTTTCGTTGGAGTCTGGCGGTATTTTTGTGCCAAACGAAGCAGACTTCATCGAGAAAAGGTTTCTTCACATCAATTCCAACACGAAGCCGTTCGAATCTTCTCGGCTGGTGCGGCTCCGAGGATCTGGTGGCAAGGCTTGTCAGACAAAGGTCAGAGGCTGAAGGGAAGAGAAGCTGTGAAATGGAGGAGTTTATTCGAGTTGATGTACAATGACTGGCTGTGTTCGGCTCACTGCGACGTCGAGTCTGACCGGCCTCGACGTCAGCATCGAATTCGGTCAGTTTGTCCGGTTGTTGCAGCGACAATGACGGCGGTTTCCTTGGTCCCAAAGCAGCACCAACGCTGCTGACGAGGTACAGATGTCGACTGCCGACGCTATTGTTGCGTCGGCTTCGCTCATTTTCGCTGGTGCTGCTATTGCTGCTGTCACTGGAGCCGTCTAGTCCGTCCGGCAGGCGACCTTCTCGTACCGTTTCCGGTACATGTTCACATGTCACATCTCCTCCCACCCGCCGGATACAGGCGTCACGGGATCTTGGCAACTCGGTCAATTGACCCAGAGGACAGGCTCGTCGAGGCGTGAAACGTCGCGATCGCTGACCTCTGACCTCCGTGTCAACATTTCGGTCGGTTGGATCGCCACGTCTATTGTCACTTTTAATCGTCATGGCTCTGGTCGACTGTATCTCTCGCCTAGCAACCCAGGGAAGCGATTCCGACTCAGTCGACTGTGAAGCCGATGTTGCTGCCACCTCGACCTCTTGAGTGTGAGCTTGATCATCTGCCGTTGGATCAAGCTGTGGCCACTCCAATCGTCTACAGCCAAAGGGCGGCCTCACTTCGGCATCTCTTCTCTGCAAGAGACGTCCTCTGTAATAGACACGTCCATTTTCACGACGTAGTCGTGTTGCCAACGAAGAGGCTATAACATTGTCAGGAGTCGGATAAATCCCGCGGTTCTCTACCTCCTTATCAACCAGCCTGGCTACTCTGTTGACGTGACCAACTTGCCCTTGAGTCGGTGCCATCAGAGAAGCTGGTTCATTCTTATCTCCTCTTTCCGGATTTAAATTGGGCCTTTTGGCCTGCATCCGAGCAATTTCATGCGCAGTCTGGATTGACCATCTACTCAACGACAAGATTATTTCCAAGGATAGAATTGACCAAATTGATTGTAGCAAAATGGAGCAATCCATTCATATGAAAAGTATATCTTGGACAGAGAAAAAGTGGACTCATGCAAAGTGGAAGGATAGCTGAAAAGGCATGAGTAATACATGCAAAGAATGCGGATTGAATTTCCTTAAAAAGGAAAAAACAATAAAAAAAACAAATTTTTTTCGCAAGGCCCTTAATAATTTACTTTTGCAAATTCTGCATAAATGAAATGCAAAAATTGGGGGATGGAATGCATGCAAACATTGAGGATTTTACCGAAAATAAAGGAAACAATAGACCTAGTGGTTGTTCGAGCATTAACATTATAATTTCAATATCAAGGCGGATGATTGAAATGATTCTCGCAATGTATTGGATACATAAACGCTAAATTATCGGAAAAAGCTATCTTTCACAAATAATTCAGGGAAAAATGAAT